AACAAAACATAACAAGATAAAAATAAAAATAATACAAATAGAAAAAACAATAGAGTATAGACAGTATTTACATTGCATTAGCTATTATAAGTAATACAAAGATGATTTAAAGTATACAGGAGAATGTGTGTAAGTTATGTGCAAATACTTCACCGTTTTATACAGAGGACTTGAGTATCCACGGATTTTGGTATCCTTGGGAGGTTCCTAGAACCAATCCTAATTGATACCGATGGATGACTGTGTATATATACACACACACATACATGCACGTATATGCAAATATATATGTGTGTATGCATATGTATATTAATATATATAATCACAACAATGCAATGAGATAGGTACTATTAATACTAATATTCTCATTTTACCAGATGAATCACAGGTAGGATAAGTACTCTGCCAAAATCCCACAGGTAGTGAGCAACAGGCCAAGGATTCTAACCAAGCACTTGAACTCCATCCTAACCACCATTCCCATGATTCTCTACTCTGGCTGTGCTTTGGAATCATTTGGAAAGCTTTTTAAAACACTGATGTCCAGGCATTACCCCAGACGAATTGAAACCGAGTATCTGGGAGCGAGACATTGGAGGTATAGGTAGTATAAGCCCTTGGGTTGGCCTTATGCTCAGTAAGGCTGGATAATCATGTCCTACTAGAAGGGTCCAAGATGGGTGAGTGGAGAAGGAGGCTCCCAGGAAGTTGGGAGACCCACCGGGAGGGTGCTGCCTTGGCCCTGCTGAGGAATAAAATGGGCCCAACTCCAATCAGCTTGGAGTGAGGCTTTCCTGGCTGACTTGTGCGCAGACATAGACTTAGGCTGCACCCAAAAAGTCGAATGGTGTCTAGATTTGAGTTGTTCATTGTTCTCCTCTTCTGCCCTTGCTGCTCTCATGGGAGAAATGCCATACAATTCTTTCCATTTAAAATGAGTGAAAACTAATTTCGCTCTGAGGATTTCCCAGAGCCCATAAGCAACTAGGTGGGGAGGTAGCAAAATGATGGCTGGCATTCAATTCATCCTGAAGACAATCCTCTAAAACCCTTGGGGACAGTGTCTGACCCTACACCTGGCCCTGCCAAGTTTGAATGGAAAAAACGAAGAAATGAAGAGGAGGAAAGAAGCCAGAGGAATGGAGCCAGTGGAGCCCTCCTGCTTGCTCCAGCTGCTAGCTCGTGCCCCTGACATAGATTTTCCATATTAAACATTAACAGTATGTTCACATGACTGTCTCCTCACCTGTCAGAACTCCTAGAAGGAAAGGAGCATGTCCTGTGTTGGTCACCCCAGTAAGGGTACAAAAATGTACAATAAATGAGTTAGTAAGACAGGAGGAAGAAGAGGAGGGAAAAGCAAATAGAAATGAACAGAAATTAATCTCCCACTTTGCCATGTCCTAGTGGCATCCACACCTGTCTGCACCCCCTAGTTGCTCAATGGGCTTGGGGAAAAAATACTAATTCGTGGTCCTGTATTCTGTTGTAGATTGGATGAATCACATCTTAGGGGGTGAGAACAGGAATCAGTATTTCCAACAAGCTGCCCAGGTTAATTCAATGCAAATGCTTTGCAGGTCAATGTTTGGCAGTGGGTTTTGACTTTGGCTGCACATTGAAATCACTTGAGAGCTTTAAAAATCTTGATGTCTGATTCCCACCCCCAGACATTTTGGTGAAACTATTTTGAGTCGAGGTCTGGGCATCAGGGTTTTTAAAAGGCGAATCTAGTGTAGACACAGTTGAGAACCCCTGGTGCTTCAAGAGCCAAGTTCAAATGCTCGGTGAGTTGGTAGAGATTGAAAACTGTGGCCAGCACATGCATTCAGTTATGGGAAAGCAGGCAACCCACTGCCATCTCCTGGCCTCCATCTCTGATGTCAGGCTCAGCTATCGCCAATCCCCCAGGGACATGTGCCCAGCTGCCTTTGTTCCCCTCAGACCCAGTTTCAGTGGGTCACACAGTCGCTGAGAGCACACTCCTAAGAGGTGCTGAAGGTTTAAGGGCAAGAACAGTCATGGCCTCAACCAAAGGACATCTTCCAGAAAAACAACCTGCTTGGCAGCCTCCCTCACCCTATTTCCCTCCCTTACTAGAGAACCTTTCCACCCTCGTCTCCTCTCATCCTCTATAAAAAGTGAATTCTTACCTCATGATACAAACCCTCAGAGCGAGCCTTGTCTATCTTTTCCAGTGTATCCTTGGAGAATTGTATCATCTCCTTCACCGCTTCCTGAGAGGGCTGGGAAAGGGAGAGACATTGAGCCAAGACCCCTTCATGAAGCTGCCCACTCTACCTTTAAATAGCTGCCATCTTTGACATTCCATGTCCTGCAAGACTAATGCCTTCCTCATTCTGAAGGCCTCACTTCTGAAAATGCTACCCAAGGTCCCTGTAGCCTCTCCAGCTCCCTCATCCCGCTTCTGACTCATGTTGTGTATTCTACGAACCAAGGCCCAGAGCCTTCCTGCCAGCCAGTTGTCCCCAGCCTGTGCTCATTCCTGAGTCTTTGGACCCCAGAGCAGAACCTTACGTTGATCCCTGTAGTATTTTCTCTGGTTTTGGATTCCATCACCCAAAAATATTTGCCATTCTTCCTCTTTGCTTCAAGTCAACCCCATATTCCACAGCTGTGCCCTTGCACTTTTATCTTCAATCGAGTCATTGATTTAAGTATTAATACTAGCCAGCACAGGGCTGAAGACAGAGCCCGAGAACTTCACCCAAAAATCATGCTCCAGCTTGCCACTGGAGTTCATTAAGGAGGGCCCTTGTGATTATGGTTATTCAAATCCTTCTAAATGTCTTAGCATCTAGCTCATGTTTCCTTGTCTCATCCAAAAGGAGATCAGGAGTAAATTTGTCAGCTGCCTCTGTGAAATCTAGACTCATTAAACTTACTGCACTTGCCTAAGTAGCCCAGCCATTTCGTCAAAAAAACAAACAAAAAAACCCCAAGGTTTTGATATTTGAGGCAAGGAAGTATTATAATTAAGAAGCCAGTTCCCATGAAGACATCATAATTTTGAATAAAAAATGTCACATTTCTCAAAGTCCAAAGGAGAAATTTCCTTGCTATTCTTATTCCTATCAGAAGCTCTGTCCTGAAACTTTTTTTGCTTAAGCAAATGTTGTATAAATTTTTTCCAAAATGAAAACAACTTTATTATTTATTCTGATTGTAAAATTAACATATTCAAGTTGTGAAAAATTGAAACAATATAAAGAAGTATGAAGAACAAATGTAAATCCCCAGAACCCACCCAAATATCAAAGTTAGCATCTGGAAGAATATTTTCCTATGCATATATACAAGAATAATA